AGGTGTTGTCCAGGACGGGGATGCTGCAGGGAGGGAGGGACTGTGCAGAGGCCCTTCCCTGGCTGGGGGGATGTCTCCCGAGGACACAAGGCACCTCACCACCTGACCCCAGGCTTGAAGCAGACAGACAGAAATCAACACATGTGGCCTCTACTACCATCTTCCTGGCCAGGTCCTCCCCTTTGGCCACACTACACAGAGCCTCTCCCACTTCTCCCAGTTGACATTTCAGACCCTTCTGTGGGTACCTAGTGCATAAATGCACGTGGATGATTAGGTGTGATTTAAAACCCAGACCAGAACCTGAGTGTGGCGTGCCCCTGGTGACAGAGGACCTGCAGGGCTGGAACCAGGTATGGATTCTTTTTTTTGGTACCAGGGATTGAGCCCAGGGGCGCTTAACCACTGAGCCACATCCCCAGCCTTTTTTCTCTTCCTCAAATTTCCTTTTGCTATTTGTTCTTTTTAGGTATTTATGACAGTAGAGCGTATTTTGGCAAGTCGCAGTGGTTGAAAGGAAAGCGAGGAACCCAGAGACAGGCAAGCGAGAAATGAAAGACGGAGCCCAGGCAGAGATACAGGTGACAAATAAAGGCCATCTCTCCAAAGACAGAAAGGCAAGACAGGTTTGGGGTTCTGGACTTTTATGGGGCAGGCTCAGGGATTAGAGCCTGGTGGGTCCCAATGYGGGTGGTTAAGGGTGGGGTTGGTATGAGGGAGTGGTGAGCCTTTCCCAGAAAGGCCCAAGGATGGAAAGCAAAATTTTTCTTAAAATGGAGGCTGTCACTTAAGATGGCCATCCAGATGCTAAGGGCCTTACACTGGTCATGCCCATCCCTTTTTATTTTTTAGACAACGTCTCACTAAGTTGCTTAGGGCCTCACTTAGTTGCTAAGGCTGGCTTTGAACTTGCGATCCTCCTGCCCCAGCCTCCCAAGACACTGGGATGACAGGTGTACACTGAAAGGGTAAAGTTTCTAAGCTGGAAAGCTTGAATGTAAAAGATTAGGTATTATTAAGTTCCTCTGTTACACCCAGATTCCTGAGATAGTTAAGACAATGCCCTACTGGCCGTTTAGCCTAGGGCCCTGTGCAGTTCCTCACAGGGCCCGAACCAATCAGTTTAAATGTGTAACCCGCTTACAAATGACCAATCACCCCCGCCCGGCCGGTTCCCGCCAATGAATGTGCCAATCACGTCTCAGAG